TGGATACAGACAAAAGGGTGGTGAAGGTCTGGGGTGGGGTGGGAACTGGGTGAAGAATGGCAGTGGGCAGAAAAAAAGGAGACATCTATAATACTCTCAACAATAAAGACCTTTTTTTAAAAAGGGGGAACAAATAAATAAATGGGGGAAAAAGAAAAGCTTGAAAAAGAAGACCAATAAAAGCAGAAGTCCTATGGTAATTAAAAATTTATATAACAGAGATGGCACATATTACACATATGTGGCTCATACTTGTGGCACACTGACCTGTGCTGAGCATCTGACCCCTGGTGGTCAGTGCACGTCATAGCGACTGGTCAACCAGTTGTTCTGGTCGTTCAGTCTTAACAGTCGCTTAGGTTTTTATATATATATATAGATTATAATTCCAATTAAGACCCAAAATCATTTGCAGGAAAAGAATGATGATGGGACCTGGCTCTGCCACTAACTAGTTATATGATCTTAAAAAACTAATCATCTGTAAAATGACAACAAAATAAAAATTTAAAGTAAGGCTCCTCCTAGATCTGTTCATTTCTATGAACCTAGTATACAAAATAGACTTCATTCAGGAGATTATGGAAACATACTGATAAGAAAGCATTTCAAAGACAACAAAAGGAGAGAAGAGAACAACGTGCCTATCTTTTAGCTGCCCCCAAAACTACATTTCCAACATTTGAAAGAATAGCTCTATGAGAAACTTCTATTTGTACTCTAGGAGCTGAATAACATACAGAGAATATATTAAGGTAAGCGGACAAATAAAGGGTAGGCAGAATGGATGAGAATATGACTATAATTTTATAAGGCCCTGCTAGAGGAAACTCCTGGGCAAACACTGGATAGGCAAGAAATCCAGAGCCTCTAGGGAATACAACTTCTCCAAGATCAGCATCTCAGGTAAATATCTTAACTTACTTATTGCAATCATTTATCAATTGGTTAGCCTTCCTAGGGAAATCAAGAGAGTATAATCAAAGAGAGATATCAAGACTTATTAAAAGCTACAGTCAATAAAACAGTGTGTTCTTGGTACAGTGTAATCAATATTCCAAAAGAACAGAATAGAGAGCTCAAAAGCAGGTCCTCTCTTTATTTATGACAGAGTTGATACAACACCTCAATGGAATAAAACAATCAATAAATGGTGCCAGTTATGCATAAATAAAATAAAGATTAATCCCTATGTCATATCATCCACCAAAATATTTTTCAGATATATTAAAAAATTATACTGAGAATACAAAACATAAGCTTTTAGAAAATATAGGAGAATCTATATGACCTTAACATAGGGAAGGATTCCTTGTCACAAAACAGCATAAACCATAAAAGAAAAAATGAAAATTTATTACACTAAAATTTTAAAGTTTAAAAGTCATACAGGTACACACAAGACAAGCCATACACTGGGAGAAGTTATCTACAACAGATATACTGACAAAACATTAAAAACTGGAACTTTTGCAAAATAAATAACAGGACAAACAATCCAACAGAAAAAATAAAAGGAAATCTAAAGCCAAAATATCTGAAAGAGTAACTTCCATGAAATCAACAAATTAAAATCACAATTGCACATCCACCAGATAGGCAAAAATTTTAAATTTGACAACATCAATGTTGCTGAGGATAGTGAACAATGTATCACACTCTACTGAGAATATGATGAAACAACCATTTTGGAAAGCTGACATACTTAGTAAGGTTGAATATCCACTTCTCTAAGTAATTTTACTCTTAGGCAAATATTTCAGAGAAACTCTGGCACAGTGTATACATTACCCTATTGTTTGTACTAGCAATAAATAAATAAAAAACCCTAATTGCAATTTGTTATAAATATACTGTGGAATATGACATTTGATCTAGTAACATGTACCTATATTACTTAGATTTTTAATTAAAAGGAACAGGTAGGTCTTTTATAATTATTTATGTACATAATATGAGTCTTTCTGGTATCCTATAAAAAAAATTCCACATTCCATATTATATCAGTTTTACTAAAAGGGAGGGTAGAAGTGATTAGGTGACTGAAAAATTTTTGGTTGAGATTGGCAACTACTGATTAAAATTTTGTACACATTCAAAATAAAACACAGAAATAGACTAAGATCATCATTATAATTATGGTAATAGAGGTTCCTCTTACCCAGGTTTCTTTCTGCTGAGAGTCTATAAATAATAGATGTGTGGCCGTAAGATATAGTGTTCCTGTTAATGACTTGTTGTTGGTACTGAATCGGTCAAGTAATTTCACTTGCTCAACCTAAAAAAGAAAAAAATGTTACTTCTCATTTCAAAAGTAGTATAAATTCTTTTTCTGTCATCCCAGGATTTAAATGTACCATTTTCAAATTTTTTATTCCTTCTGTTAAAAAACATGAGTTTAGTTAATATTGAATGTTAAATTTCATATATCCTGGGAAATATATAAGCCACAAATAACATAGGTACTATTTACAGGTGTAAATATAACCAAGAGAGAAGAACCCTGTAAAAAAAGCATTAACACAGATATTATGGAAAACAGAAAGGAAGGGTGTGTTATAAATAAACAAAAACTTTTTTTCATAGCCAAGAGTCAATATATTTTACTTAAAGTTGGCAGGTAAAGTAATAAATACAATAAGGTTATTTTGTAGAGTTATGGAAATTACCCCAGAAAAAATAAATCAGGAAACAGTTAAATGGTTGCAAACTCCAACTTATTCTCCTCACCACTTCACCCAGGACATTGTTTTGTGTTCAACTCAGTGCTTTTACTCACACTGTTCTCCCTTCCTACAATAGTCTCTTCTGCTTAACTAAATATAAAGCATTCTTCAAAGCTCACTGATGCCCTGTCTCCTAACAGGAATCCTTCTCAGAATATTAATTACTTAATGTCTTAGCTTTATATTTATTTATGGCTCTGAATTCCCTGGTATAGATTATTCATATTCTGCTTCTGCATCCTTTGGTAGCTGAAGCAGTGAGGTACATAGTACATCTTTATAAATAGTAGACACACATGCACAAGGTTGCCACTGAAGAGTGGGATTAGAGTTGGCTAGGGATGTGCAGGAGACTACTGTTTTGAAAAAAATAGTATTTATTTCTATCTATTTGTAATGTAGGTAACAAAGTTAAAGAACCATTACCAAGTTAAAAATTTTAATCCAAAGCTATCGCAGTAGGTTGTAGATAGTTCCTTAAATTGTGCAGGGCTTCAAAACCAGATAGCTAACCATTATTGCATTAATTCTATACTTTTTCCCCACATGTACAGAGTGTGGTGAGTACATGAAGCCGAGTTTATCCTTTTATTATTATTTATTAATTATTGTGCTATTTTCCATACAAACAACTGTAAACCTACTTTTGACCCTCCCTGTGTTTTCTTTTCCCTTACTAAAATTGAAGAAAAAAAGGCTCCCCATTTTGAAATTATGATTTCGGAAATAATCAAAAACTACCATCTAAAAGGCTATTAGTGCTTCCCCAAGAAATTTAATTTCAGAGAAAGGTTTTTACTTATAACAGCATCTGTTCAAATAAATTTAAATTAAAATACTTGTTTTTTGTAGAAAAAGAGAGTCCATCCTGACCTTAACACCTTGTGGATTGTTCATTACCTTAGTAAATGCAAAATTATATTCAAATCAAGAAAATATATAGAAAATCATTATATGACTATTTCAATATGGCAATCTCTATATCGATGTGACATAATAAAATTAATCTGAAATTATCCCTAAACATTTAGTTAATACTTAAAGTTCTAGAGAAAAAAAGATTATTTCTGAGAAAATATACTAATTATTTGGTTCTTTCCTGCAAATCCTAAAATACTTTTTTTTAAAATAAAAGAAATAGGATCATTTTCTTTGCTAAGATCGTTAGCATACAAATTTTAAACTAAAGACTTAGCCAATTTCTGAACATATAACTGCTGCTTCATATTTCCCCCTTTTCACTGAGGAACTGAAAGTACTTTACAGATGTCACTACAGATTTTTCCCAGTGTTTTCTTGGAAATATCTCTAAGTGAGATATTTAGGAAGCATCTACAACTCTTGGAGGGCATGGCCATTATGGTGAGTATAGGAAATGCCAACACATTACTTTAAGACCCATTTAGTTGAAGTGTTGCCAAGTAGGGGCCTGCACTAAAAGGTACCCTAATGGTCTACATAGAAAGTTCAAATTTTAGCTAATTACAAAGGAGAAAATGAAAAACAGAGGAAATCACACATACACAGAATCACATTCGGAAAATTCAGACACGTATTTACCAACAAGAAGGAAAGTAGTTTCTAGGACAAGGGACTAATGGCCTTCTTCAAAATTCTGTGACCAACAGACAACTGCATGACAATGGCTAAAGAAGCAGAAAGTATGCTGTTAAGGTTTCTCTAGCCAGTCACCCATTTGAGACTCTTAGAATCATTACACACTCACAGCACTGACATCTTGCCAATAATTAGCTATCAAAAAAACAACAACAAACACATCAAGTTGTTTTCCTTAAGTGGAAGGTAGGAATCAAAAAAGCAGAGACTTTTATCTATTTTGTTCTTGTGTCCCCCGTATTACAACAGATCATAAATCCAGGGGCATTTTACTAATCTATCTTGCTTTGCTTTCCTGCTCTGCTAGACACAGCTGGAATTCAGTGAATGGCTTCCTGTCTCACACAGTAATCACAAAGATTTTGCATCAGCTTTCAAGACTCTATAGTAACTTGTCCCTTTCCCCAACTTTTAATCTTCTGCTATGCTCTCTCCTTCACTCTCTCACGTTGGTCTTCTTGCTAGTTCTTACCAATCAGGAATGCACAGCATAGGGTTTTTGCTCTTGCTGTTCCTTCCCTCTGTTGGGACTCTTCCTGTTACCTCTTCCACCCATGTCAAGATGGCTCACTCACTCACCACTTTCAGGTCTGTACTCAAGCATCACAATCTCTGTAAGGATGTCTCCACTGTATTTACAACTGTCCTCCCCCACCTTACCCTAGCACTCTCTGCAGCATTTACCACCATCTACCATGTTATATGTATATTTGACTTATTAATTTTGTTGTTATATCTTCACCAAATAGAAAATAAGTTTTATTAGGGCAGAGATTTTTGTCTGATTTATTCACCACCATTTCCCCAGTACCTAGAACAGTGCCTGCCCCCAGGGAAAAGGAAGCAGAGGAGGCAGCAGAAGAGGAGGGGTGGGCAAATAAGGGGAGAGCAGAGGAAAAAGAAGCAAAAAAGAAAATTAGATTGGAAAGACTGTTCCCTGTTCTCTTCCCACCTGTGATTCACCACTTCCCATTGTATCCCAAATACTCTTTGTCTGGCTCTTCTTCCAGTGCTTACCCCCTTTTAAGAATGCCCAGGGCTCTAGCCCTCACACTCATCCACAATAGGAAATTTCATTGATTACCTAAACACTTGACACCTCCCAAATCTATTTATCTGGGCCAGACCTTTTCCCTAACTCTAGACATTCATAATCAGCTACCTACTAGAAAAAATCCCACCATCCAAGCTGCTCTCCTCCATCCTCTCCTTTCCCATCTTACTCACACTGACCTACCTCACTACTCAAATCTCTTGATTAGATAATTACTCTCTGAGGCAAGGGAGTGTAATGCTTAGAGAACATGACTGGTAGCATAAAAACCAGGATTTAAGTTCCCAGGTCCACCTTTTCTTTAGTAGAGCTAGCTGTTTAGTCAAGAGAAGTTATTTCATTTAATCTCTGCTAGTTTATTTTCTCACCTGTACACTGGGATAACATTAGTAAGAGTCAAAATGACACTATTTTATTTTAAAACACAGTTACTATTTTGTGGGGAAAACATTCAGGTGTTCCTCCAAATCTATTGGCTCATATTTCAAAGACGAAACAATATAATGTTCTCCTTATTCTTCATCCATTGTTAGTTTTACATCTCCTTCACTCTTTGTAACAGGTAATATATATTTGTGTACATACATGTATGAGCTCATATTCTAATGACAAAAAGAGATAGCAATCTAAGACAAATTGGGCATTACTTTTGGAATAACTTAATTTGAGCCCTAATGGGGTCCGATTTTCATGGGCATTCCATTCTTTAACAAACTCTAGGAAGCAATCTTTCATATAGAGGTTAGAAAAACATTCTTCCATTTCATTCTGTAAAGTTCCATTCAGAAACAGCACAAATTTCAACACCAACACATGATGCTAGGCAAAGGACTGGAGCCTGGCAGGAAAAGAAGACTGCTTAAATTGTCTCTGCATATTTCTCACTGTTTCTTGGCAAGACTATCTCATTATGGCAAAATTAGCACTCAAAGTGATAGGCAGTTGCTACAATGCTCATAAGTATAGATTGGAAATGCTCTTTCAGAATTTCAAATTTGGACTTGACATCTTTACTGATGCCATACAGTTAAACCAAATGTGACCAAAACAGGATGACATATTTCTGAATTTTAGAACTAGAAATCCATTTAATTAGTATTCTACTAAAACACTTTATCTGATAAATCTCTGGTTAGTAAGCAAAAACAAAACAAAAACAATGACCATAAGCAATACAACAAACAGTACCACAAAAATATTATTTACTTATGTCAAGAAAACATTCCAGGAAGATAAAGCTCTTATAATTATTCTTAGGATTTATTTCTGCATTAATATTAATACATTTTGCTTGTTATTACCCTTAGGTAATGCAGAAATGACTGTTATAGTGCCTTAAATCCCAGCTAGGATTTGGAAGTTTATTCAAGGGATGATGCCAGAGCAGCCTATATATAGCCTGCCATACTGTGCAGAACACTGAAATGTGCTTTAACAGAACTATGTAAACAACTATATATCTGACACTCGAGCTCATGACCACCTTAATTTCATTTTTTGCTTAAACATGAAGTAAACCCCTCACAAATGACTTTTATACTTAATGGGAGGCCACACTCGTGATCATTCTGTTCATCATAAGAGAATAATAGTTTATGATTGAAAAAAATCTATTAGATTTCTTTTGACAGAATAAAGATGTAAGCTAAGAAAGCTTCTTTATATCTTGCATAAAGGAGTGGGAAAATGACTTAAAATTTGTAACGGTCAGTTTGACTCCATTGCCTGTGTGTATTAAACTATAACTTTCTCTACATTTAAAGAGACACTAGAAAAACATTATAACAAACCAAATAAAATTTGGGCAGCAGTCACTGTTTGTACATGATAGAACAATTTTCAAAACCAGTTTAATCATGGAATATTTTTTTAAAATAATGTATTAATGTAAAAAAGTATTAA